TATACATACATACAGCCTTGGTCCTTGGTCATGGTGTCACAAGACAGCAATAGGCCAGGAACTAAGACAGTGCATTTTATTATCGTGCAGGTGTGCATGACAACTGCACTGGTGTGTGCACGTGGTAGTGCACATGGGGAGGCCACAGGACAGCTTTGTGGAGTCCGTTTTCTCCCCTCACACTTTTTGGGGGTGTTTTTCAAGACAGGGTTTCTCTGTGTATCTTTGGCTGTCCTAGAACTCGCTCTGTAGACCAAGCTGGCCTCGAACTCACAGAGATTGCCCGCCTCTGTCTCCCGAGTGTACCACCACGCCCGACTCCTCGTCTTTACATGGGTTCTGATTGAACGCAGTTCATCAGACTGTTCCGAAAGCTCTTTTAACCATGGAGTCATCTCGTGGACCCCAATTTTCTTTATATCGGGTCTCTGTGGGGTTCTCACAATCTCCTAAAACATGTCGCTTGGTGGTTCTTTCAATCGACACACAGATCATAGGAGCTGGTTCTCATCTTTTACGGGGACCAAACTCAGGGCCTAGGGCTTGAAGGCAAGCCAGTTTACCCTCTCAGCCATCAAGTCAATCCAGACTCACAGCTCTTAATGCTGGCTGCAAATTCTTAGTTCTAGAATTCCAATACTTGTTAGAAATTATACTTTTCTGGTGACATTACTGATAATTCTAGATTTTTTTTTTTTGAGACAGAATCTTAGGATCTCAGGCTGGCCTCCAGCTGGCTATGTAGCCTAGGTTAGCCTTGAACTTTTTCTTTCTCTACCTCCTAAGTCAGTGGTTCTCAACCTGTGATTCACATCCCCTTTGTGGATCAAACAACCCTTTCACAGGGTTCAAAGACCATCGGAAAACACAGGTATTTACATTATGATTGACAGCAGTAGCAGAATCACAGCTATGAAGCAACAAGGAAAACCATTTTGTGGTTGGGGTCACCACAACGTGAGGAATTTCATTAAAGAGTCATAGCATGAGGAAGGATGAGAATTACTATCTTAAGTGCTCCATGCCCAGGTTTTTTGTTTGTTTGTTTGTGTTATTTTTGCTGTTGTTGTTGTTGTCCATTTTGTTTTGTTTGCTTTTAATATAGACACTCACTATCCTAAAGTGGCCTTGAATTGGCTACTCGGTCTGATCCAGCTTGTAACCTGTGAGCCCCCAACTCTGCCACTGAGGCTGG